CTGGCAGGAAAACGCCTGAAAAAAGAAACCAACACCACATGTATGGACTGCTATACAGCAATATAATTTTTTTCCTTGGTTTAGATATCCTTTAAATGAAATCTATTGGGAAAGTAAAATATACTTTCAGGGCCATCCCTATAACGAGACGGCCTGAGGCGATTGCCTCTGGCGGCATCTGATTGAATAATGTGGGCACACCTGCCACCCCTTTCCAGGCAGTGTGTCCCAGGATGCTAAGGGCTCATAGCAACCTGTGACGCTCTGGCTTATCGTTGTGCCTAGCTTACTGATGTCACTGGTTGCCAGAAGCTGGACTAGCAACCAGTGACGTCAGGTAACTGGGTAGAGTATACAGGTGTGTCCCCTGCACTCCTTTCAGTATCTACAACCGGTAGAAGATGCGGTGCTCATAGTGATAAACATGGCTGAGGCGGTGTATATCGTTGTGTTCATTTATTGGAGTGTTGGTGATTTACTTTCTAGGGTAACTGGGTGGGAGGCCGGAGAGAGAGAGAGATAAATACTCTTCCCAATACTTAGAGCCAGTGTGGAACACTGTAGCTGTCACATTCCAGCTTTATAGTTTGAAAGCTGAGTGATCTTGTAAATGCTAATCGCTCAGCTCACTGTCTTTTCCTGCAGAGTGTAGTGACTGTCGGTCACCACGTCTCGCAGGGATTCCTCTCTCCGTTCCTCCAGAGCTAATTGTAGGGACTGACGGGAGGGGGCGGGCACATCTGGCTCTGGCTCTAGAGAGACAGAGCCAACTGTCAATCAGGCAGATGGGTGGATCCTGGCAATATTTTTGGGGCAATATTGTGCTGTCGGCATATAGTGGGCAGTAGCCCCCTGTCTGCTGACTTTGGGTCATAGGAGGACATTAGTGAGTATACTTCTGTAACCCAATGGCGAAGTAAAGCTGAAAAAAAGTTGGGCTTTACTACTCTTTTTTAAATAGACAATACTTGTAGTATTATTACACTATGCCAATAGCGATGCCCCTGATGGTTTTTCTCCCCTTTTTTCTGGGTTGTAAATTTGCCCACCTGAGGCAAAAAGTTCAGCTTGCCTTTTGATGGACGCGGCCCAGGTCCTATGTGATATCGGGGACGTGCCTGTGTATACAGAAGGCCTAGTTGTTCTAGAAAACCTGCATGGAAGAAATGCAGTACATGTTATAATACATCTTCTGGTTTGTAGCAGGAGGATCCCTCAAGCACTGACGAGTTAAACTCTCTTGAACCAGAATGCTGCCAGCCTTTTACATTTTCCTCGGCAACCAGCCTCTGGTTTCCTCTGCCCATCCCACCCTTTATGCTGTAATGGTAGAAGGCGGCACGTCTTCAGGGATAATAGGCTCTCCATACAGGCCTCCTCTTCTGCTCTCAGGAATCCATCGCTCACTTCCTGTGGGTTCGGGGGCTCGTCCCTCACAGACCCTCTTCCATTCTACAGTAATTACAAACAGATGGAACTGCTCACTTTTCTCTGTCCTGGCCACGTATGACTATCCGTCCTCTGCTCGCAGACAAGGATGACTTGTGAGTGCTGAGTCACATTCTCAGTCTCCTATTCCTGAGGTTACATTCCTCTTAACTGTTTAGTGAGAAATAGATAAAAGCCCGTTTGTTCCCTGTTCACGGAAAGGAATTTATCAAAACTGGAGCAGTTGCCTACGGCAACCATTCAGTTTCTTTCATTGGTTGTCATGGACAACTGCTAAAGATTTTGACGGCTCCATTGTTGATAAATTCACCCCGTTTTGCTTATATTGTTAAATGTACTTGACAAGGGTATTGTCTACCTTTTTTGTAAGGGTCAATTAAGGTGAACAGCCCCCTGTTCAATTATGGTTGAACAGGAGAATTTTCCGTCTTTACTCCATGGGGACGTTCACCCTCTCCATTCTTCCTAGTAACCATTATCACTGGGATGGAAAGTGAGGGAAAATACAATAGTTTTGAGTTGGCACTGGAACAGAGGGAGAATCTTCAGTAGGGACAAGGCGACAACTGTCATTATCTGCTCCTCTCTCTTTTTTTTTTTTTTTCCCCCCTGTGCTCGGTTCCCCGCGTTTAATAGCCCAGCAGAGAGAGTTCTTTGACTGGAGAAGTTGGTCACATGACTTTGACAGGACACATGACTGAACTCTTCTGCTGACTCTTTTTTTCCCCTTTTCCCCTCTAGAGTCCCAAATAGCCAGCAGAGCGCTAATTTATATTTGTAAAGCACATTGATGTGCATTATAAGGGCTTGTTCACACCAGGTGCTATGTTCAGCTAGACCAGCACTGTTCACACCACACTGCGCTGCTGTGCAGAGTTAAATGAAATGTTTTTGTTAACTTCAAATAAATAAATAAAACAATGTAAACACTGATGCATTTTTACATTGGCTCGTGTTATATACCCGCTGGTGTGAGCAGGCCCCTAGTGTGCAGTATTTGTGTTTTTTAACCACTTGCTGACCAGGGTGTATTTAATCACCACTGCAGGTTTTTTTTATTTATTTTTTTACTATATAATGAAAAAAGTACTGAACATTTCGAGGAAATAAAAAAGTTTTCCCTAATTATGTTATAAAACCATTATTATTACCCAAATTTTTGGCAAAAACCGCTCATCGGTTTAGTGTTATCAGTGATTGATGGCCCTAGAATTATTGCTCTCACTGCGACGTTCGCGGCGATATGTAACCTGTGCGGCGTAATGGATGCAATCGTCTCTGTATGTAGGCGCACTCGACGCATGTTTGCATGTATATGTGGGGGGCGGGGGACTTTAGAACATTTTAAAAAATGTTTTTATTACCTTTTTTTATATGCCACTTTAAAAAAAATAATTATATATTTTTGTGTAACTAATTCTTTTTAAACCTTTTTTTTCCACTTAACTTTATTGCTATCACATAGGGGACTAACAAGCTCCCTTTGTGATGGCCAATTTTCAGTAAAAGGTCCTCTTTAAGGAGACATCAGGGTCTTTAAGACCTCTGTCACCTAGGGACCCCCAGAGAAGCTGATGAAGCAAACACCTGCTACACCAGCTTGTCTCCGATTTCTGTACCGAAGAGTGACAGGAATGCGGAAGTGATGTAATACACATCTCTTCCTGCATTCCGAAGAGGAGGAGGAGATCAAACGAAGATTGTGTATTGATCTCCGGCTGCGGAACTGCTGTGCTGGTCCCGGGCTCACACCGGGCACAGCGGAGCTCGGGATCGCTAGCAGCGGCTGCAGCGCCTACAGACACCCGAACGCTTGAGTGTAAACAGCCATTGCTGCCTGTTGGCGGGCATGACCGGGGGTGTATGGGGCTTTAAAAACGCCTGCATTCAAAAAGCCCTGTCCGGCCGTTTAATTAATACGGCTGGACAACAGGTGGTTAGGATTATGGTTGAACAGGAGAAATAACTTGTTTCCCCTAAACAGCGTGGATCTCCTGCTGACCTGATTGGATGCATTTACTGTTCAGCTGACCATTTTCCACCCGGCTCCTTTTATTTTAGTAATCTAAATTTGTTAAGCCAGGTGGTGCGAACAGGACCACCCTTGGCTTGAATTCCTGCCAATTCAGGAGTCATGTATGGCAAGCATTCAACTACACATTGCTAGTGTTTGTGTACTAATGGTACAATACTGGTATACACTATGACACAGTACACAACAGTCATCAGCCGCTCAATATAACTGTATTCCATGCTTTAAAGGAGGGACACCCACTATTGGTGTGCCAATTTTTGTGCTCTAGTACTTGTTCTAAGATGAAGAAGAGCTGTCCAGTGCAGTGGTGTGTTACTTTGGCAAGTCACATGTTCTGGGGCCACATTTTGGGTGCAGACCCACAAATTGTACTACAAAAAGGAACAATAATGCATTTTTTTTTTTTTTATGGCATTGCCGGGTAAACTTCTTTCACAGTCTCCAATATGACCCTTGGGTTTCCGTACATTCAAGTGGTTCTTGTCTGCCTGTTATTTTTGGGGTGATGCCATCTTATAACCCGCACAGCTCTCTATAGAGCCTATGACCCAACCCGCATGAACGTGGCGCTGAAGAACTCTGTAACAATATCCTTCTCTTCTCATTATTTTTTTTTTTTTTTAGTACACTCAAACTGCAAAGTATGATAAATTCTAACAATGGAAATGATCTACAGTAATGATCTGTGTGTTAAGGTGCCCACACACCTTACGATTATCGTACGGTAATCGTATGTGATCGACTTATCGTACGATAATCGCGAGGTGTATGGGCAGGGTGCAACTTTTGTCTTTCAAGCATGTTTGAAAACTTTGGTGGATCGTACGATTATCGCAAAGTTAGTGGTGTTTCCTTACGTCAAAAATCGTACGATCTACACTGCTCATGCACAGACGAAAATGGCGCCATTCGATTACCGCAATTCGTCCAGGTGCTTTTCTTTAATTACGGCTAATTGAACCTTGTGATAATAGGGGCATTATGGGGCCGCCATACGAAAATCGTACGACGGTTCGATCATTGGGCGAAAAGTGTCCGATCGCAAGGTGTGTGGCCACCTTTAGTGGTATAGCCTGTTGGGTCATTTGATGCTAAAATGCCACTGTTATCCAAATAAAGAAATAATGTATATCATTTATTTACACAGTGCAAACAACACAAACTATTACATCTGCACTTTCTGAACATTACCAATATGTTAGTTCCGAACACAATAGCCTATAACACCACCAGCTGTCCCTACCAGCCCCATCCTTTGTTCTCCTGGAAAACGATGTTGTTTTAGGGCTGTCTGTATACAGCTTATCATATGGCTTGGTGATTCTGGGGAGTTGAAATGTCATTGCTTTTCTTGGTGATTTGGAGAACATGAAGATCAATTTTTTTTTGTGTTACTGTATTTCTAAACAGGTAGGAATATAGATGAAAAAAAATATATATGTGTGTGCGCGCGCACAAGTAAATGAGGACATGAATGTCATGTTGTTTGCACTTATAACAACCTAGTGAGCTTATAGCACAGAAGCAGGATGGCCTGAACTTGATTATTGCCTTTAACAACCCTCATATAATTTCAATGACGTGAGATACAAGTATACCATAGACAGGAGATCATCCTCTTTTACGGAGTAAGTAAGTTGCCTTCATGTACAGGATACAACACGACTTCCAGGAGAATGCCCAGAAGAGGGTTTTATCTACAAGGCAAGACCCGTTGGTTTCTTGTTGGACTTGCCCTGCTTTTCAGCCTAATGCTTCTCACATATCTCTTGGAATGTGTACCGACCCCAGAAGGAAATGGATCACTCCCTGGAATCGCAGGAGAGATTTATAGCAAGGAATACTACCAGGCTCTTCTTCAGGAACAAGAGGAGCATTATAAAAGCCGGGCAACTAGTCTAAAACGCCAGATTGCCCAACTAAAGCAGGAGCTTCAGGAGATGAGTGAGAAACTAAGATCTGCACATGAGAAGAAACTTGCCAATGGTGGCGGGCACCAGGGTACCAAAGGCCAACCTTCTAACGATCTACTTGAATTTCTGCACTCACAGATTGACAAAGCTGAGGTTGTGGTGGGTGCTAAACTTCCTAGCGAATATGCAGTTGTTCCCTTTGACAGTTTCAATATAATGAAGGTTTATCAGTTGGAGATGGGTCTGACACGGCACCCTGAGGAAAAACCCATTAGGAAGGACAGGAGAGATGAACTGGTCGAAGTTATAGAAGCTGGCCTGGAAGTCATTAATAATCCAGATGAGGATGATGAGCAGGAGAACCGAGGAGGCGATAGAGTTTTATATACAGAAACTGATTTTGTAGAAGGTAAGAAAAAAAAAATGACCAAGCACAATTTTGTTTGTGATGAATAGAGCTTGTGATGCAACAGGTAGAAAGAGCTCCATGTTTACAATGGGTGCATCATGAATGCCATCTGTCCTTGTAATTAGTGTATCTTTATTTCTCTAAGCTTTGAACTTATACTTCTCCCTTTCCTAAAATGATCCATTGCTTTCAGATTGAAACTGTCTAATTCTTAGGCATAAGAAAGCTTTATTTTTTTTTTTAGGGCTGTGGAAATTAAAGATTAATTTCTCGATTAATCGTTAAACTTTTTGATCGATTTAAAATTATTTTGATCGCTAATGAAAACACTCACCTCTCCGCCGGCTTCCGGGAGTCCCGTCGGCAATGTCCGTGGCGTCACCGGACCTCTCCCCCCTTCCCCAAGTGGCTCAGTCGGCTTATTATTCTGAGTTGCCCCACTCAAGCGGGCGGCCATATTGAGTGGGGCACGTGAGAATAACGTGCTGGATTAGTGTGATCCTAGTTCATTTTATTACTTCATTGCTGTGCTGTATGTGTATAGGCCAATGTAGTTGGATCTGTATGTGCGTTATAATTAATCAATCGTTTAAATTTTTTTTCGATTAATCGAACACGAAAATTTTAATCATTACCAGCCCTATTTTTTTTATTTGGCATGAAAGTCAAGCTGGTACTCAGGATGAGTATGTCCGCCACTGTATTCTTCTTTGCTCAGGAGATACTGCAACCCGCTGATCTTTTGCTCCCAGTTTCCCCAGTCACTGGTCAAGACTCAAGTGTAGGGTGAAACAAACTCTGCTTTATTGAGAAAGTAGGCAACCTTTTACACAGAAAGTGATCAGATAATATCACATCCACCCTGCCCTCCGCAGACATTCTGACTGCACAACACCACAGGGGTCCACCTGCTAAAGAGCTCCAGACAGCCATAGCAAGAGCCTGGCCAGAATGTCATTGTCCTGAGCTCCTTCAGTGTACAAAGGGAGATAACGAGGGGTGGTGCTGATAGTCTTTTCATAAACAGGTTACACAGTATAACACACTTAAACATAACCCAACACCAATACACATTTAACTCCTAAACTCATCACCATGTCATCACACTTTATGCTGATGAAAACTGAAATGTTCTGCTGTCATTTTGCTTATCACAGTTGCTCTTTGCACTTCCTTTTTTTTTAAGCATGTAAACAAGTGTGTTTTGCAGAAACTGTATTCTCTATGTAAAGCTCTGTACATTAGTAAAAGCATCAACTATTTTCATGTGCATGCTCTCTACAAACATGGAAAAACAGAGTATATCATGCTTAAGAGCTACACTTTAGGGCCTGTTCACACCACAGCGTTGTGCTAAACACATGGTAGGTCACGTGCACTAGGTGTATTACATTTTCTGTGTATTTACATGGCACCGAATGCACCTCCCCGGTAGCTGTGTATTGCAGCTCAACACCTAGTACCCCAATACCGTGCACCATGGTGAAAAAAAATAATGCATGAATTTGTTTTCCACTGCAACACACGTTATTGCAGTACCACGTTTTGCGCAGCTACGCACAGCCATTGGGAGGTACACCGGGGTACCATTCAATGGAACAGCAAGACAACACACCTCGCACACAGTACTGCAAGCTAGGTGTGCTACTTTCCTCCTGGCACTCCCACTCTTTTCAAGTGGAGAGCTGACCTTTGGCCACCACTCTTGGGAAAGCTGCCTAAGGATAATCATTCCTTTACCGCTTAAGATCTGACTGCAAACACCTACGGCTTTTGAGATTCTACGCCTTTTTCTTTTACTTCCCAAATATATTAAAATGGGGCGGACGTTTTTACATGCAGCAAGAGTTTGACCAAAGTATATGTTGAAGTTGTAAGCAAGCCTCAAATACCGTGGAATGTTAGGGAATTCATGAAGTACTCGCGCGGTTTTTTTTTAGACCATGTATGCATTTTCTTTGTAAGTTCCACCATTTAATAACTTTTATCACATCTGTCTTCTCTTTCACTGGAATCCCGCTTTCACTGGAATCCCTGTGTATCAACCGTTTTTATCACCTCCTTGTTATTAGGATATTACCGAACCGAGAAAGACAAAGGCTCGCATTACGAAATGTTCTACAAGAAAACAGAGTCTGGAAGTTACCACCACATCACTTTATTTCGACCATTTGGCCCGCTCATGAAGGTCAAAGTGGAAACACAGGATGTCTCCAGGACAGCCATCAATATCATTGTCCCATTGTCTAGCCGAACAGAAGCCTTTGCACAGTTTATGCAGAACTACAAGTAAGGCTTCAGTGTGATTGACAGCAGGTCCTCCTTCCAGCTGCTCCTTTACTGTACATATGTCTGACCAGAGATTTATTGCAATTCTGTAAAAAGGCAGTAAATAGCGGAAGTACACTATAAAGACATGGCATAATCGATCTTGGGTGTTGCTTCCTGATTTTGCATATGGCATTCTGATCTGAACCACTAAAGTCCCGGGGGGCTTCTTCTTCCTAAATCCCTTAAAGTGTATTTCCACTTTTGCAGCCAAATTTGGAAAACACTTATTTTATACCTACCCTACGTCTTCCCTAACATATTATACATTGTTTTTCAGAACAGATGGGGCTTTAAGTTGGTAACACATTTGGATAAATATATTTCTATTTCCTTAGTTTTTATTAGGAATAAATAGTAAAACATTGAAAACTAAAATGCATTTTGCACCACCCCCCCCCTGTGTT